TGTCTTTGTACGTACGTTTTAGAAACAGTGGCTTTTTTGATTTTGTAGTTCTTCAGATGTTACACTTCGGGACTTAGTCCGTTCTTCCGCCGATTCGGACCGGCCAGTTTTTTTTTTATTTCTTTGTAAATCTGCTGTTGTGTCACGTGGCACAATCTGTGGGCGCTATCGGCTGCCACTAAAACGCTTACCGATCCAGCAGCGTGCGCCCGTCTGACAGACAACCTTTCAGAACGTCGCCTGCGTCAGGCATTTCTCGTACTTGTTTTATCAGTCTACGACGTAATGCTCCGAAGCTGTCCGTCCGGGTGCCAGCTACCTGTCAATTCATCTCCCCACATAGACTCCTCTTCTGTTCTCTCTCTCTCTCATATTAGCTGTCCGTCTCTCCTGTCTCCGTGCGTCGCCTTTCCTCGTGTTTAGTGCGTCCCGATTTTGAATTTCGGTCCCGAGACAACTTTTAATATCCTCTGGTATCCTAGTTACGTGAGGATAAAGCAGGCTATTCAGCAATTTTCTTTTTAATTTATCAAGGGTACGTGCTCCTACAGATAACGCGAGGCTGGCCTGAGGCGAAGAATGTAGAATTTAATTGAAGTCTTACAAAATCCAGTTGTAATTGCCAAGTCTGGGAACTCCGACGGCTACAAGAAATCGCCACTTGCTCAGCCACACGAAGGCTTCTCGCTTATTTACGTCATGAGACAAGCTTCGCAGCTGAACCAACTCGGTGGCGATCCGTCAACGCCTTTGCACACGTGCTTCATACGCGTTCGATCTTACACAACCGATAAGCAGATTCTCTTGCCGGATGTGCATGTAGCACGCATGGGGGGGGGCATGAGAAATACATGCAAGGTTTTGCTTGAAAAACCTTAGTTTTGAAGTAATTCCTAAAATGGCTCGTAACCCTTCGGATCCGAACGAGTGAGAACGAGAAGAAAGTGGGGAAGGGGGGAGAAATACTTTTTAACTGGGGGGGGGGGCAGACAAAATTTATTTTGTTTGGTGCTACGAATTTACTTCTGTGTGCCCGAAGAGATACAAAGACTAAAAATATTTAGGGATTCAGTCCGTACCGCGAAGAAAACACTACACCTCACCATTACAAAGATCAACTGGTTAACTTTGTTTAAGGAAATAATACGACTAAAACGCTAATTAACCTTTGGAGCCGAAGCTCTTTCAAATGAAACTTAAGATTTCAGTCCGTACCGCGAAGAAAACACTACACCTCACCATTACAAAGATCAACTGGTTAACGCTGTTTAAGGAATTAATCGCTGTTTACAGTGAGAATCATACGAAACACACAAATACAGAACGCAGAGTTGATGATTATTAAAGCAGGTGGTACACATAATTACCACTTGACTTTGAAGGGTTGATAAACGCAAAGAGAAGAACTTATGACATTTTCATATTGGGTCACTGGAAAGAGACGTTATCATTCTTGATTCGTAAGATACCAGTTCTGCTTTCCACTGGGGGGTTTCGACGATCGTGTGTGGTCGACCAGAAGATGCTGACGTCACGATCAGTGGCCGTGCAATTAGCAGAGACACATTTTACATCGAGAGGAGTGAGCCTGTGACAGTAACATGGCGTATTGGGAGCGTGGAGGTAGGTGTGAAAACGGTCTCGGGCTGTCTGAACCCGAGGACTGGTCAGCGACTTTGCCACTGACGAAGGTGAGAGAGGAGGGAACGGAGAATCAGAATATGGACCATTTCGAGGAGGTTAAGGAATGCAGCGGTTATAAGAGTAATGAAATGGGGTCGTTTGACATCTCCCCGCACATCGGCCATTACTGCAAACGCTGTAGGTCCTCCGCCCCAGGTCTGAACCTGAATGGCTGCCCCATACTCATTTATGGCTTTTGTCTTAGATACAGGAATTTCACTTGTTATGTTGGAGACATTACGTAATAATAATAGAAGTTTTGCAAAATACTGTCTTTACAAAGGAGTTCTTCAATTTGCAAAATTTTTGTTAGCCTGTGTTCTTTGCGAATCTGTGATGTCTGTGAATAAGTCTTCTTTCTTGGCTTCAATTTGCAAAATTTTTGTTAGCCTTTGTTCTTTGCGAATCTGTGATGTCTTCTTTCTTCGGTTTTAACCTGTGCCAAATTTGAACACATTTCGTTGCTTTTAGAATTACGGGAATTAATGTCAGACCGTTGATTGGTCTGCTGGAAGCCTCAAGAACATTGCAGGGGGTCTAATTAGCAACTAATCAGGAATGGAACTAATAAAGTAGAAACAGGCGAAAGAAAGTAAGATAATAAGAAATCTGAGAGCTTATTTTGTTTGAATAGATCTTAAAGAAATCACCGCCAGATGGCGAACGTTAAAGCTTTGAGAGCAATAACTAACAAACAGGACTTTCATTTCGGTCGACATAGTCCAACGAGTAGTCAGCCATTGGTAGCGATTTTACGTAAGATTAAAACGACCAGTGGAGTGGGAAAAGGTGCTATGTGCCACGCAAGATTTTTGTCGAAAGTAACTCAACGGAGCAGAGCTTTTCTCGAGAAGTTGCCAGTTACTGAGACAAAATAATTTTTCGCTTTCGTGAAACACAGATTGATTACCGTGTTCAAAAAAAAAATATGACGTCATTGAACCCAGTTCTCAGTCACTTGAATCCATTCCCCTTCGGTCAAGATACATTTTAATATTATCCTTCCTTTGATGGTGTCCCATGCGCGCTGGATGTCTTACCAGTCTCTGTAATTTTTTTTTGTATTGCGTACGACGAATAATGTGGAGTACTTTCCCAGTATTTGTCTCGAGAGACTGAAGAAAATCGTGAAGTGTTATATTCTGTCCAGACCATCGGAAAGTTCGGTGTACATATATAATACTACGACCTGAAGATGGAGGCCGCATGCTCCTCTGAAACGATGGTAAACACCAAAAGATTCCACTGCCCCATAACCCAGAAGACCACAATGATGAATTTTGTCCGCCTTGAGAACCCAAATAATCACACTGTGCCTTGTTGTTTTCCAGCAGGTGGCAGGCGAACTGTCGCTGAATGGACGGTACGGTATCACCAGGGGAATGGTGATTTGTACAGTTTCGGTACAGCTGCTGCAACCAGAATTGTCTTGAGTTACGAGGGCCAGTCCTCATTAATTGTCGTAATGGAACTAGAAAAGAAATTTGATCTGAGATAATGATACGGCGATTAGCTCCGTGTTTCAGCCAACCCATCGCGCAGACCGCAATAATTCCTCGTGATACCAGACGGAAATATTAAAGTCGGTAATAATATTTTAATTGAAGCGAGTTTCGTTTAGGACAGGTCCGGCGAACTTCATGCCTAAAATAATTTTTCTACGGGCAACAGAGCGAAGACATCATCGCGCCTTGCATCACGACGCTGGTGATTATGGCAGATTCACGTTCCGTCGCGACTCTGACGCCACGTTAAAACCCTTACCAAGGTTTTTTTTTTAATTCGGCCCGACTAGAAATTTCGACCAGTCGACTAACAGTTTGTGGGCTGTCTTTACATCGATTTAATTACGTCACAAGCATCTGCTCGCTGAAGTGTGTTGACTGTAAGTTGGTTACGTAAATAAATAAGCGACGAATTAATTATTTCCTCTTCAAAGGATTACAGCGAGGGTTGTAGTGGGGCTTGTGCAGTCGGGAAAACACCCCCGCAGCCATGTTTAGACGCGAGTTTAACCCCCACCCCAGCACACCCCCTTCGTAGTCCATTTCCCTAATTAGCAGGACGGCGTAATAGAATCAGAGATCTTCGTACCTTAACGAACCGCAAATATCGTTACGTAAAACATAAAGGACACTTAAGGCCGCTCCTAACCTTCTGTTCCACTGCGATCCTTGAACGGCATTGCCGTCGACTGAATCAAGGCGGATGGTCAGTGACGCTTTGTTATGCACGAACAAAACCACACAAAACAGCGATTGAGTCGCATAGTTTTACTCAGGCATTAAATTAATTGATCAGTCGTCAGTAAGGCGACTGTGTGCAGCGCCCTTAACGGCATCGCTCGATCTCGGCGCGGCTGTTGAATTCTAATCTCGTTAGGCAAATAAGTCCCTGAACTTCATCAGGGTAAAGCGAGTCCAGATTCCGGGTAAACAGAGCGAAATTCGAAAACTTTTTTCTCTTTTGGTTGGAATTTTCACAGCATCCAGCTCGTCACGTGATACGTAATGAAACCCAAGTTGGGGCATGCTTGTTAACTGTGTCGCCGGTTGCATACCGCCCCCCCCCCCATTTCTGTTAAAATTACTGGAACCCTGTATTTCAAAAAGGGCATAAGTCCGTTCCTGCTTTGGTTTTTAAATAAAATTGTAATTTGTGTATGAGAATAAATATTCGCAAAGATGCTCTTAAATGTACCCGAAAAACCAAATTAATTAGATAGAAATCAAGAGCACAAATTGTACCGAGAAGGTTCATAGTTGTGAGCGGTAAGCTTATATAATTATGGAGAATAATGGTGTAATATTGTGAACTGTAGCCTGTCCCAAGCATCGGAATTTTATCTGCAGAGCTGAATCACCGATGATTTGGTTACTCACAGACGCATTAGGGACTTTGGAGACTGAATTAACACACACGTTATTAAGTAAGCTGTGGTCCCAGAATATGCCGGCTTTGTGCCAAGGAAAATATTTCAAAATTACGTGCAAATTTGCGCCTTTTTATTGAACGACCTAAAATTTATATTAATACGAGAAAAGAACAGCTTTTTAAGGATTTCAACTTTTTCCTTTCCTTTTACAACGTTAAAACGACGTAAAAAGTTCTTACGTAAAAAAAAAAGAGTGTGAGAATCATATAATTTCATGGGAGTCCGCTAGATGTCTCTGTGTGTACAACATGCTGGTACAGAAACATGGCGGGTGTTTGAAATGTTTTTTGGCTGTAGAGAGAGGGAATGAGCCGGCCTTCCTCTGCCGGCAAGTGGGGGACCGCTTCTGATTGGGCGGCGTAGCGTGTTCCCGGCCCTAGCAGCGAGCCTCAGTGCTGATCTAGCTGGCGAGACGACAGTGTGCGAGGTCGACGGCGCGGAGACTCGTCCAGTGTCGAAACGCGAAGTGTTTCATCCAGTCGAAGAATCATCGCAGGTCTACGGATAAGAAGTGATGACACAGTCTTATCTGCTGTCATCAAAATACAGTGATTAGAAGTGAATGTTTGTTTTTACGCTGCAATTTCATAATGTAATTCTGTTCTTCGTTTTATGATTGTAATAACGACTTACGCGTAGGCAGATTTTGTTTCGTCATTAGTAACTTATCTTCTCAGTGAATGTAATTAAGATTTGTTACTTTCGAAGAAGAACGTTTCGGTTTTGAACGTTCAGTTCATTGTTCAAAATATATCGCTTGAAACCGTTGTTTTCAACAATCGCATTACTGTTTTAATTTCGGGTGTAACGCTACCATTGTTGTGAAGTGATATCATTATTAACTCACAAAATCTTTGACCAACAAAAGTTTTAATACAGGCAGAGAGAATTGAATGATGGTTTTTAATTCTGACGTCTTGCTGTCGGCTCAGGGATTCTCGTAAGTGTCGTGTGTTCTGACAATTTAAACGTAACGCGTGTGGACATTTGTGACAATGGAAGGGAAAATTAATTTGTCCGGATTTGTTGGGGCCGCGGTGTCCGTGTGTTGGTTTCTGATGCTGTCCGGATCTTCGGGGACCTTCATCAGCGGCGAAGAAGCCCTCGGGTCTCCGTTGAGGGTCGCCCAGTGTCGCGCGCAATGTTTGCAGGCGGTGAGTACTGAATTCTGCGATTTTTCGTGTCCGAGCGCGATTTTAACTCGGCTTTAGAAGTCGTGAAAGAGAAATTAGAACGAGGGAGACCGATCCGTCGGCCGAGACAGAGAATGACAGATAAATTCGGAATTTATGTTGACAGTAATAAAGACATTACGACTTTCAGGTGACGAATGAATGTTTAAACATGTTATTTACCTTTGGAGAATTAATCAGCCTCTTATTTGATATTTGGATTTTAAATATAAAAGTCGGTTTCAGATTTTTCTTCGGTTAAGAGACGCGGACAACGAGAGGCATGTGGCTAGAAATAGAAAGTGACGGCGGATCAGAAAATTCAAATCCTAATTAATGATAGGTCGTGTTTATAATTACTGCAGTGAGAAAGAGGCCTAGCGTAATCAATCATAACCTGCCAAAGAATTTGGGTTCTGTTTTCTGATGTAATTCGAGGGAAAAGTTCAGACTGCGTTATAATCAGATTAAGGGCGATTTATTTCATGAAGTGACTTGTCTTCAGGGCTGTAGCGTTTACCGACGTTTCAGAGGTACTTGCTGCGTCACTACGCTGTTTCCCATTGGTCTCTCATACGAAATGTCGGTGCTGTACGCGTTTCTGTAGTGGCTCTGCGTCTTGAAACATGAAAAAAGTGCTCTGAGGACGCGAAACAGAATCCAGCTCACAAAAACAAGTGCCTACGGCCTCAAGGTTGCAGTCAGGTAGAAAAATAAACGCGGAGATCGGCAAAGCACTTGTTCCACTCTTAAATTCCACGCTGCCAGGGGTTGGTGAAACAGTGGAACATTTTACATACGAAGGCGCTCAGAATAATGACGCAAAGACGATTCCTCGAACGCCGTCTCGTTCCTTGTACGGGCCCTTCTGACGACAGACACGTAATATAATTAAATAAAATGGAACATCGTAAGGAAAATGCCCTTTTATTTCTAATGGGCGTGAAATAGGCTCTTCGACGTAAGGAAGGAGGCATTTTGTAGGCTGGGAGGGGAGGTAAAACTCCACGTATTCCCTCTCACCGATCGTCTGACCTGGTAGCGAGTATGCCGACTGAGCTACCCCGATACGTCTCTGGATTTTGGGCTCGTGCGATGTCCGTCCTCACGTAAATGCTTAACGTCCGCACGACAGTTTAAAAACAAACGAACAATTACAATTGCCAGTTTCGTATTTTTACGCGCTCGGGTTTTAGCGTCGACACAGAAACAAAAGACGATTCTGGAAGAACGGAACATCCAACTCTCTCCAAGAATAATAAAAACCTGAACCAACAGTGAACGGAAGTTTCCAGTCAGGCACGGGGTGGATGTCGTACTCTTAGATTATTTACAGTTTCGTTTTATAAATTCTTTTACTGAACATAGACGAATTATATTTGGCCAGAACTGAACAGATTAACCCCACAGCAATCCATAAAAAGGATTTTATCAGCTCCAGAATTGAGAATATTACGTGAATAAGAACTTTGTTGTTATAATCGGTCGAGCACGTAGATTGTGTCGGACGAGACACTTTATGGGCGATGATGGTATTCTGGGTCTTGACACCGTGTCGAGGAACATGCTGCCTTATTCTTCAGGGCTCCCGCTGACTATAATATAATAATGCATGATTAATTTTGTTGGAAGTGAAAATTATGCTCGTACTTTGTTCAGCAAACGGAATGATACGGAAACACCTCAGTGACGCAATTTCACGAAGTTTGTTTAAAACAGCTTAACATTTTCGTTTCGTTTTGTAACTTCAATTCAGCAACGAGAATAATATATTTTAAACGCTGAATAAAATATTGATATACCACAAACATGACGGGGAATTATATTAACCCGTTCTGGCGTGGATTAGTTTGTGCGTGAACACTTTGATATTCTGTCTCGAAGTGCGGGCTCTGTTCTTGTACAGCTGTTATAAATTCCAAGTGAATAGCACACAAATGTTGTCACGCCATCCCCAGCAGTCGATCTCAGCGGGGGGCGTTAACAAGGGTTGCTAGCAACCACCCTTCGCCGGCATGATAGATATTTATCATGCTGTAATGTTCAAAGCTGGTCCTCCCTGCAGATACCCGAATTAACCTGGAGGGTATTTGCTTAGATCACGTCCCGATATGCCGGGGGATGACGAAGACACCCCCCCCTCTCCCGCCCTTGTTCACGAACTTCCCTTTGCTGGTTCATGGTCCCTGAAGGACAGATCATGCGGGAACAAGTAAATGTCTCGCGTCATTGGGGTGATCGTCGGAAACAGCGGAGAGACAGGCAGAGAAGAAATGAATGTGAAAAGGGAAAGATAAGTTTGTGAACTGATCGGTGTAACAGTACGTCTTTCAAGCCGAAATTCGTCTAAATAATATTTTGTAGAAAATTTGGTCCGTACCGCGAAGAAAACACTACACTTCACCATTGCAAAGATCAACTGGTTAACCTTGTTTAAGGAAATAATACGACTAAAACGCTAATTAACCTTTGGAGCCGAAGCTCTTTCAAGATCAACTTTTTAACGCTGTTTAAGGAAATAATCGACGTTTACACTGAGAATCGTACGAAACACGTAAATACAAAATGAAGTCTTATTTGTTGCAGGCCAAAAATAGTCCCATAGTTACCACTGGCCTTTAGAGGGGCGATTAACTTGGCAGACAAAGTAATGTTACTTTAGTTGAAGCAGAAACTATTTTCATGCTATGAGTGACTTACTGTCAACAGACCTCTAAAATCCACGTACGGCAACTACTTGGAATCACGTTCACGCCTTCCCGTGCCATTTCCTTAATATCATTTTAATATTATCCACCCATTCATTTCTGTGTCTACCAAGTGATTCTTTCTTTTCGGATTTCCCTAGCCAAATATTTTGTGTTTTCCACTTCGTTCGCGCTTTCTACGTTCTTTGGTTTCTCTTTTAAAGACGCTCTGACTTTGGTCCGAAAGCTCACAGACCGATTTCCAATTCTTCCCGCTTTTCCCGCTTCTCCCGTCTTTCGTAATGGCTTTGACACTTCCGTCCTTCCAATTTAATGCCATTAAATGCCATTGATTATATTTTCCCTCGGGTCGGATGCAAAATAGGTTTGTTGGACTTAACGGGGCTTGTAGTGTCGCCCGCCAACGCCTCCGTTTTAAGCCCCGGAGTTTAGCGGGGATCGAAAGACTCGCTCGCCTCTTGTTCACGGACATAGGCGTTTTTTACGCGTCAGAAAGCTTCTTATACGCCCGTGGCCTTCGCGTATTTCAGACCCTAAATCCCTTCCGTGCATTCCCAGCTATGAGTTGCGACAATTCCTGGCAGGTGCAAAGCTTCGACTGTCGTTTGCGCCACCATCGTCAGGGAGAGGTTGGATAAAACGAAATAAAAAAGGGGTTGTGACGTTACCGTTAGCCCTTCCGAATGTTTTGACAACGTGACGAATTGTGATTAAAATTTGTAAATGGCGAAGTTTACACCTAAGGCCGTCGGACGAAATTAATAATTTGTTCGTATCAGGGCAATTTTAATTTTGCATTCCATGAAACGAAAATGTAATTTAATCGATGATATTACAAATGACTCAATGTAAAAGAGAACTGGTACAGCTATCCCATGAAGGTCTAGATATTTTATTTACATTCGTTTCTGTTATTCCATTATTTAAAAAAAATGCAGGTAAATGTAATTTCTTACGACGTTCTGTGATAAGCTTCGTAACATAAATTTTTTGGGTTTACGTCTTAAACGGCATTTGTGTGGCGTCTATGGTAACCATAAGACACGCAGATAACATCTAAATCTCAAATTATGAGCGGAAAAGGCTGTTCTGTACACGTAGACACAAATGGAAAGATAATATTAAAATTTATCTTAAAAAAAAATAATATGTGAGTGTGAATTCTATTCATCGAAGGATAGGGTCCAGTGGCGGGCTCTTGTGAACACGGTGATGAACTATCGGGTTTCATAAAGGACTGAGAATTCTTTGACTACATGAGCGACCATCAGCTTCTCAAAAACGATTCTGGTTCACGGAGTTAGTTGCTTATTCCTCTGTCTAAACAAATCCCCTCTTTCAGCAAGTTCCTGGTCGACTTCACACCTCCTACTCGCGACATGGCAACACAAGATGGACTTTTACAAAAAAAGAGTTTATCTCTGCTTTCCACTGCAGTTCAAACTTTCGGAACATAAACGTTTTATAGACGTCATAAAAATTATTAGTGTTCGCTGAATCATACGACTTCTATGTCAGCTGTGAGGGAAGTGGCTGCTACCAGGCCCGGCCGGTCTGTTTCGTCTCCGGGGACGCGAATTTCTACTTGTATTTCCTGTTACGTGCGTGTGCGCGCTGATATTAAAAGTCAATACACTCGAATACATTAATCCTTTGAAGCCGAAACTCGTCTGAATTATATTTAATAATCCGGTCCGTACCGCGAAGAAAACACTACACTTCACCATTACAAAGATCAACTGGTTAACGCTGTTTAAGGAAATAATCGCTGTTAATTCTGAGAATCGTACGAAACACACAAATACACAGTGGGGAAAACGGAAAGTTGTCGATTATTGAAGCAGGTGGTACGTATACTTACCATTTGGATGTACAGAGTCGCTGAATTAGGCTCTAAACCCTTTGAAATCAAACGCGTTTGATGTAAGATACATTTCCGGAAAGTCTACAAAGAAATTTAACCCAGTGTCAATGGTAGACTGAACCCCTTATTAAAAACATGGTTTATATAACAAGTTTCCGACGTTTCGGTGCATTCAGCTTGGCAGTTCTGCTAGCTTTACGCTTGTTTCTGTAGCTAACATTTTTTTTATATTTCGAATGGACAAAATGTTAATTCTTCTCTGTCCTTACAGTTTTACTCTCAAGGCCTATCTGTTTTGTTCACTGTTTTCGTCGCTTGTTACCCGCAGTTCCACTTCATTCGACATTTCTTCTTGCATTGAATATATCAGTCTTCTTTTATGACAGTGTTTCTTCACGTCGAGAAACATT